GTTTGAGGCATCTTTTTGCTCGCAGGTAATCCCAATGGGAGGAACAGCTGCAGCTTCACACAGGTGCCTGTTCCTCTCCTTACTCCACTGGAAAGACAAACAAATAGCTTTCCCTCTTCTTATTCCAATGTAACCTTTTCTTTTTTTCTTCTTTTTTTTCCTCTAGAACAGAAATCAGTATGTTTTCAGAAGCTACTGTGTCTGGAATAATTATCAGGCTGTCAGCTCTTCTCTGAATTGCTTCTTCCTTCCACTGAGGGTACTGAACTCAGTGCAATCTGAGTTTTACAATGCAAACGTGTAAGGATTAGCGGACAACTCATCTAGGACACCAGCTTTGTACTTTGTTAGGAAAAAAGTGCTGACAAACTTCACGGTTGGTGTGTGCTGCTGTGCAGGGTGAGGTGAAGCAAAGCTGCTCTGTAGGGCTGCTCAGTGCGGGCAGGCAGCCGGCCGATGCACTGTGTGCTGCTTCAGAGCTGAGTTTGTGGGCTGAGTGTTCGGGCCACGGGGCGCTGTGGCTCTCGCAGTGATCTGTGCTTATCCTGCCTTCTTCTCTAGTAGTGCTGCATGACTCCGTGTGAGGCGCGTCACTTAACAAAAGCCACCAAGAAAGGGTATGAGATTCGTAGAGTGGGAAAGGGAATGGGATTTAAAGCCTGAAATGAAGCTTCATTTAGGCTTTCCATATGGGATATGTGAACAGAAAGTGGCTTTGCCTTGGAGAATCCATTGAGTTTTGGACTGCATCTAAAGAAGGAAGCAGAGAAGTGAAACGTTATCCACCGTCATGGATTTTTATATCATTTAAATTCATACTAATTTGCTGTTCAGTAATTAAGTTCCTTCAGATTTAAGGGAAATCAAGAATCCAGCTAGTGTGATTAATCTTGTGAATAAAAGGGTTTAGGATTAAACATTCTTTGTGTGACACTTCAGCAGTATGCTTTTATAAAAGACACAGCAGGACTTAGTCTTGAAGTGTCAGAATACCTCCTTTAGTGACAAAGCATTTATACATTTAAATTTTCGAAGAAAGTTGGCAACCCTTTTACAGGTTCAATTTGCACCTGTCATTCACTTGTAGATGCAAATTTGAGTTACTTGCAGCTCTAATTACAATACTTGATTGTCATCACGAATCAGGTAGTAAGAGGTGAAATGATCGAGGTTTGTGCTGTCATCTGTTGTTAAAACATGAGTGCAAATGTTATCATCAAAAAGCAAAGACAACTGGAGCTTTGCCCTGCTGGTAGTTCTACAGATAAGTGCATTATGCAAATACAAGGAGTTTACAGGGAGAAGTAAGGAAAGAAGGGAGTGTGTGGTGAAAGCAAGACAATAAGTGACAATATAAGGTGGATTATTTTGTCTATTGCAATAAATTATGATGGCAGAGATTTTTTTCAGTTTAGTTTTGCCATTAGACCTAACTGCCATTTGTACATCTAAATATCATTTCTGTTAAGTATTCTAGTTCTTTTCCTTCTGCTGACAGGTTTATAATTTTCAAATGAAAGAAGATAATGATATATTATTCATCAGATGATTATTGTGCTGTGTCTTTCCAGTTTGTCATTACCTTTATAAGAAAAACTATTACATAGTTACGTTTTAATTTCAACATATAAAACTTGGATTTTTTTTTTTAAATTTTCTTCGCTAAAAATGCTGAGATCTGACTGTTAATTATAATTCATCATTTTCTTTTAAATTATAGAACATAGGTAAAACACATCATTGTGCTTCAGCTAATATCTGATAGGTGGATAATTCAGCACCGATGGTTTTTTGTTCACCTGGAGGGCTTGCACAAAAAAGGTAGTTTGAGTAACAGAGGATTGGTTATTTTGTACTTCCATCTGAGCAGTGCCTAAAAAGGCAAGGTGGCTTCACTTGAGGTCTCTGCAATTTTGAATTAAACCAAACAAATGAAGAAATATCCAAGAAGCTGCTTATTTGAGATCATATGTGCGTCTCTAATCTTTTAAGGTGCGCACTAAGAAGTTCCATGGAGTTGCAGTCCATTCAGTGAATTGTTCTAATAGCTCTTCTTTCAGCAGTGTTCCATAATCTCACCTCTTTCCCTTTCTGTTGAACAGAGGCCTGAGCTCAAAGGATTATTATTACTGTGGTGATTTCTAAATTGCTAGATCCCAAGCATCTACTTAACCTAATATAAAAGGTCCTTTACTTGTTCTGACTTTTCTCATTACTAAAGGAGAACTCTTTGGCCCAAACAATAGCTATACACTAAAGAAGAGATGTTTTAAGTCTAGGAGATTTGTTCTGTTGTTTTGCAAAATGGTGTCAACTTCCACTATCACTTCTTACGATGAACAGCTTTCCAAGGCCAAGAAGCTAATGACATCCCAACGTCCATTCCTCCCATGCGCATCTGGACTAAAAGGCCACAGCTAATTTCTGCTGAATCAAGAATTTATAATCAGCTTTAATGTATTTAGGAGCTAAAGTACATTAGTCCTTCATCAGAGGGAGTGATAAGAAACAGTATTAGTATGGCTGGACTTTAATTATTTCTGAGCACATAATTACTCTTCCGTTAAGTGGGCAGGAGTTATGATACTTCCTTCATTTTGAGCAAAGGAAAGCCGCCTGCGAACACACAGTGGTCAACTGCAGAGATTCTTCTCCCTTTCTCTGTGAGGCAGAGAGAGAAAGAAGAAAGCAGGTTTAACCTGTGGCATCTTAAACATAGCTCAGGTAGTCCCTTTGGGAAAGGATCTGGGTACGGTGTGTATTGCGGCACGATGATAAGGAAGGTGGCTTGAATTTATACTTTCATAGAAACTCAGAAATGTATAAATAATAAAATCAGCCTGATTATTTTTAGTAGTTAATCTAAGTAATGTTTCACTGTATGGTGAAAGTCATAGTATGAGATTGGTTCTTTGTGTTACTTGTTGAAGATTTGACTAGATAATCTTAGAGGTCTTTTCCAACCTTAATGATTCTATGATATTTAATGCTCTGTGCAACTGTTGTTGAGATTTGGAACCATTAAGGCCAGTTATGTACGTATTTTTTAAAAGTAATACCGGTTGTGGTTTCATCCAGAAAAGAAATAGCTCCTTTCTGTGCAAGTTATTTGGAGAACTGTATGCTGTTTGCCCTTCCAGATTCTACTTTATTCCTTTCTGGAGACCTTTAAAAAATTAATATAAAAACCATGTCAATGATTTGTGTGTGTATATGTTCAGCTGTGCCTGGTTCTCCATTGCAGTTAAATGCACAGCTCTAAGAATTTTAAGCTAATTCTTCCCATACCTGAAAACCCACCGTGAAATAATTATTCTTTGCATGCATCTTTTACTTTCGTAGTTTTATTCTTTTGGAAGTAAGTTGCTGTGCTATGAGAATAATGGGCAACAAGTCATTTGAATGTGTGTATTCAGATATGATCATGGTATCTAGACGCCGTATATTGTAAGGATTACAATCAGGGCTTCTGGTACAAAAAGCTATTGTGCTCACTACAGAATGGTTGTTGCAGTTATAACTATGAAAATGCTTGTGTTTAATTTCTCGTGTGTAATTCTAGTGGTTCTGTATTTAGAATAAGTTTAAAGCGATACTTCTGGCTGATGCAGTAATTGAGGTATTGAGGTTCTCAGTAACATGGTCCAGCTCCTAAATTCGCAGCTAAAATCTCATGGTGCTTCATGGGTTGTTTGTGTTTCTCAAATCCACGCACCTGGTACGAACATTTTTTATTTTTAAATGCATCACTCAAATACATAGTATTTCACCGAAGACCTACAAGTTTACTGCTGAATGACTAATATCCTGTAAAAGAAGAGCTTCTTCAGTGCAAATGTTATAACAATGGTGCTCAGATTTAATGCATGTCTCTTGCCTACATCTACTGCAAATATCAGCACATACCGTTCATCTTTTTTTGTTGGTGTTTTTGTCTATTTTATGCATGAGATGGTTCTTGTTTTCAACTCTGTGCTTGGCTGGCTTTTTTTTTTTTTTTGTTACTTAGTCCTGTGTTTGTACTGATTGCTTTTTTGCATGCAAATTACAGAATGTCATGGAAATGAGAGCTCTGAAAAAAAAAGAGAGAAAAAATAGGAAAGATAATGCTGAGTTCCAACAGTCTTTTGTTTGTGCATAAGTGTGTAAAATATGACGTGGAAATATTTTCAAAATGGCCTTTGACTTTCCTTCTGGTGTATATTTTTATTACTCAGTAAAAGCGTGGGCATTTTTCCCACTGGAAAATGTGATGAATCTATTAAGACTTGTTAATGATATAGTGCTGGGCATGAAAAAAATGGTGTTGTAAACTATTTATGGAAATAAGAAATTATTATAGAGTGCGTTCTGCCCAAGCCAGAAGTGCAATTCCACACTCAGTGTAACTTCTGGGTACTGTGGTGAAACCCTGGCCCCATTGAAATCAATGGCAAAAATCTTTGCTTTCAGTCGGTCTTGGATTTCACATTTGTTTTGACTTTACATAAGGATTTTCATGGTTCTTCACCGATATCTCAGCAGGTGGTCAAAGGTTTCAAGGGAAACTACAGTTCCCTTAAAATGAGAATGTAATAAATGTATCAAAAAGGAGAAAAAAAAAAGCAGATGTTCATTAGCTACCTCATTGTATCAAATGAAAGATAATTTGACATTTGTCTCCATTATTCCTAATAAGAAATGTAAGTGCTTGTTTATAGTTTATTACAGTGGGTATGCTTTTAGTAAACAAGCTTTGATTCTTCATTTGACAAAAATAAAGCACTGGGCACGCTTTGATTCGTGTGCTAGTTGTTTCTAACAGCCATACCCCTAGGGAAGGTTTTGCAGTAATATTTAAAAACTTAATGAAAAATTGGTTGTTAGAAACTAAGATTTCCCTCCTTGCAAATGCTTTTCTTGAAACGTCCATGGGAATTTAATATCATTGTTTTTTTTCCTCAGTCTTGTATATTCTTGAATTGTCTTTTTTCCTCCATTTTCTCCGTTCTCAATCCTAGGTCCCCTTACAAAGAAACAGACAGATGATTTAGGTGATAATGACGGTGCTGAAGATGAAGGTATTTTTTTGCCGCCAAACTGATTTGCATGACAAGGATCCCTGAAAATCTTTTTTCTCCCCTCTTTTTTTGACTTCTTGTCTTCTTTTGAAGAGTTTTTTTTTATTCCCATTTTTGATGTGTTTTGTCTTCTTGCTTGTTGTTATACATATATATATATTTTACATTTTTTAAAAGAAAATGTCATTAAGTTCTACGTTTTGATACAAAACAGTAACAATATTTAAAGCAGAGGGTTTTTTGTTTTCTTGAAATGGACTTTTGATATGTTGCATTCCACCTTTTGACTCAATTTTGTCCATTCTATTTGAACTAACACTCTTTTAAAGTTTCTCTGTACACCTTTTTGCATGTTTTCTAACCCTATGTATTTCACCAAGTAAAAAGATGTTTCTTTTTTTTTTTTTCACTGACTGATATCAGTTTGATAAACTTATCAAATATTTTGTTCGTAAGAGGAAAAATACAGAAAACTTAAAAAGTGTCTCTTAAGCAACTGAATCTCCCCAAATATAAAACCTTCTGCATTTATGGTGACCTGAACAAATACAAGTAATTGCATGATTGCCCCACCTCCTGTGGAAGAGGGGCAGCCCTGGAGCAGCTGCAGTACTTGCAGTTGGTGAGGCTCTGCACAGCAACTGTGAATTCAGTGGAGCTGAGCTGATGTCATCTAAAGGAATCTGATCCCATCTGTTTTCTGCAAGTATACAAAGATAACTATCTGCTTGTGTGCCTTAGAATCCCTATTACCAAGTAATATCAAAACTTTGAAATGTCAAGCATACAATTCTGTTTGTGAATTCTATCTGTTATAAGCTGAGCAGATTTGATTTTTGTTCAAGGCAGTGAAAATGGTAACAAGGGGCTCTATCTCCCCCGCGGTCTCCTCCTTTCAATTAGATTTATTTCAAAGTTCTGAATCTTAAGCACGTACTTGATATTTTTTATGGTCAATGAGTAAAGCACACATGAGCCTGGTAGTTTCTATTTGTTTCTCTGTTAACATTTCTTTTTTGGCCAGATATTACAATGAAGCCTAATTTGTAAACAGTAAAGCTCTTAATAAGATTTTAATCGTAGAGTACAGTAACTGTTTTGGTCTTATCACAAAAGATCAAGGGAGGGAACTATGAGCATTCAGTTTCTTAGCCAATAACAGAACAGACTTTATGTGTAAACTCACAAACTTCTTTCATTTTCCTTAATCCTCTTCTAAAGTGCAAGTTAAGTATGTAAATGAAAGGCCACCAGGTGGCCCAAGATTTGAAAGAAGACCTAATTGAAAACCTCATCTGAAAGCTCTCATGCTATTCAGAACTGAGTACGGCAGTTGAGATCCATTTAGCTCTATGAGTCCGAGTCATTTTTACATTAGTTCATGACAAAGCATGGCAGAAGATATTCTTGTGAATTCTCTATGAAACGTTACATTGGATTAGCATCTGTAAGAGGGAGTCTGTCTTGTTTTAACAGTATGTTTCAAGAAACGGTTTGAAACCTAGTTTATTCATCAAGTGAACCTTAATGGCTCTCCTAAGTTGCTGTATTGCTGCCAGGACAGATGCTAATGCCTTAACATTTGTTGAGCCGGTGTCTAAGTAGACACACTTACAGGATATTACTAAAACAGTTTGCTAAAATTCAGCAGTGGCTGCTATCAGAAAGCAGTTTAACACACAGTCAAATGAGAGTAGGGATCTCGGTCTTTGGAGAACTGGCATCCATGTCAGAGAAAACCCAAATCCCACATCGACAGCTGTAGGAGAGAGAGGGCTGTAAGAGCACAGCAGTCAAACTGGAGGGAAAAAACACATTTACAACATTAATAAATCTCTATTTTATGGGACTGGGATTAATTTTCTCTGGCATACAAGTGGCAGTTTTGTTCTCCTTTCTATGCCAATAGAAGAATGTGAGCATTAATTAGATGTTTGCTACTTCCAAAAGTCACAAAGAGACAGGGCAAGCTTCAATTTTTATGACCAATAGATGCTGAAGGCTGCTGGGAATGTCTGCTAGGTTAGTAGAAACCATGTGTGCTGAGGCACAGCGTTTCACTGTCTCTCAGGGGAGGAGTTGCATTGGATGCCCCGTGTTTTGTGAACCTGTTCTCTGCACTGGAGCTCTCGTATGTGTTGCATATTCAGAACTGAGGAGTTCACAAACTACCTGTTGTGTATTTGGATATGAGTATGAGGAGAGAGAAAGGAAGTACAAAGCCACCTTACTTGTCTAGATTTCTGATCTGCCCATTAAACACTTTTCCTTTAGCAGTATGATACATTTTTATATTGATTAAAAGTTCAGTTGTGATACTGGGGAAAAAAAAGCTGAATTAATGATACAGTTGGAATTGGGAGACCTGGCTTGCATGGCGACAAGGACTGTCTCACATAGCCACAGAATCCAAGCTACATAAGCAGATGTCCAATGATATTTAAAATGCCCAGGATGGCTTCTGTATTACTTAGGAATTTCAGAGCTCCCACTTACATTTGCTGTAAGCCTTTCTCCATGAAAAATCTCTCATAGCAGCTCCTTGGCTCAAATGCCTGGAAAGTATACTATGTTGTGTCATTCATGCATCAGAGTTTGATCAGAAGATTTCATTTGAGAACAGTGTTCAATAATCCTACTCCTGTCTGCCACGAGTCACTACCAGTATTGCTGTCCAAACCTTGTCAGCACAAGCGCTGGAATCAGCAATCAAACATGGATCTCTGCTATGTGCTGCAACCAGTGGACCAGGCTTAATTAGATCATTTTTCATTTTTGTTTTGAAAAGGCCCAAAGGCAGTAGTGCACATTACCAGCTAATGATCTGCAAATTTGCTGTTTAAAAAAATGAAGGTGTTTTAGGTGTTTTCAGATTTTACCAATGTGAAATGTGTGCACTGTCAAATTATATGAATATCCTTTTTCTCCCAGTCTGATAGCATTCTGGTTTGTGTAACCCTTCCATGGGATTGCTTACCTGTTCAATAAACATTGAATTACTTGGGCAGGCACCAAGAATATGAGTGGCAAAAAGACCCTGCAGCCAGTGAGCATCTTTGAATTTTTATAGCAGTGGTAGATTTGCCTATTTGCTGACATTCAGGTAAGCAAGATCTAGCGTGGAAGCAAAATGTAAATCATTCAGCAGTTGAATAAGCAGCACCTTCCTCATGCGTGCACACAGTCTAGAGGAGAAGTTTGGCTTAAAAAGCAAAATATCTGGGTAATGCTAATATATTTCTACCAGTCTTAATTTTTGTAAAGCAATACTTTGACTTCATTTAATATGGCTACAGGAGGAAAAAAAAGAAGCTCTTTATGCACTCTTATTTCCTGTATGCTAAAATTCCTAGCATGACTTAATACAGCAACACCAGTTATTAATCAGACTACATACTCAGTGATCACAACTGGACTTCTAAGTAGTTATGCAGTATTAAATATCCATGAAGGATTGCTCACAAATGAATTCTTCTCATCCACCATTCTGTCAACCACACATTACTTAGAAAATCAGTCTGTCAATCTTAGATCCTTATTTAGTCCCCAGTGTTATCTGAGCATCTCAATTTTTAATGTATTCACTGTCACAACATTCTTCTGAGATAGAGGAATGCTATTATTCCATTTTTAGAAATGAGGAATACAGACATTGTGAAGAATGCAGATGCCATGTCCACAGCAAAGCAGGGAACTGTCAGTGCATGCCTCGAAGTGAAGGCTGCAGTGTAATTGCTAGATGCAGCTATTCTTCCCTTCTCCGTTCCAATCCCTCCTGTGAAATAGGAGACAGATTGGGAACAGATGTTGCTGTTTGTTCACAGGCTGTAACTGTGATCATTCTGATCATTTAGTGTGATGCTCTGCCTTACAGGGGCCATTGAACTTCATAGAATGAAGGAAGTTCTTGGTCCAGAGCATGTTTTAAATCAAAAACAAAATTCTCTCTTCAGTTTTAAATTGCTAATGATGCAAAATCCATCTGCAATTTCCTTCATATGCTTAACAGACTGTGGCTTCACTGGCACAGGAGAAGAAAGCATTTCAGAAATCAGGATCTTTTCCAGAAAATCCTATTGCTCTATTAGTATTAAAATAGACTAGGTTGCTAAGTTTAGCTTTTTGTCTGCTTTCAGCTGTCATGGTAAGAAATGGGGAGAGAAACAATCTTTCCTTCTGGCTCTAGTTGTACATTTTTGGACTTCAGAGATCAGTAAACAGCAGAACACATTCATTTACCTCACAAAGCAACCACAAGTTCCAACTATAATTATGGCCTCTAATGAGTTCCATCCAGGCAGGAGTAGCACAAATTCTGACTCCTATGTACAGATTCTCATGTTATTTGCCTATTAAATTTTGGCAATGTTATTTTCCATTTACACAGAGAAGCTCAATTCAGATGATGAATTCTAGTGATATTAACACTTGAAAAAAAGCATAGTAAAAATTTTGACAGACCTTTAGTTTAAGGACCTCTTTGGGCTCTGCTATATTTTTGTCAGTGTTGAGTATTGCTTGTACAGTGAAGAGTCTGAGCTTTTGCATTTCTAGCCATCCTTTAACAGCTTAAAATTGCTATTTAGCTGGCCATTGAGATCCCACTGTAATTTGAACATGCTCCACATGCATACCTGTAGCAGCCTTCAAAAATTCTGTCCCTTTTTTTTTACATTGCAAGAGAAATATGTTTTTCATAGACCTCCATCAGGAACTCAAATCCCTTTCTTTCAGGCAAGTGTAATTAGGCATTCCAGGGTACCCCCAATGTTCCTTTGGTTTCACAGATACAAAAATAAATGGAAGAAGAAGAGTTGTTAATATTTAGCTCAAACTTGAGGGGTAGAGGCAGTCTTTTTAACATATGAAATAGGGCTGAAACTTTCACTGCATTCCCACCAGAAGTTCAACAGATGTTTTAGAAGTCTCAGGCCACCTAGTTAATATCACAGGTTTAAAATATAACATTAATTGGATGTTTACATATTAATATTGATGAGGGCACTTGCTAATTTATAGCATGCATCTATGAGGCATTTGATGGATTTGAACTACAGGACTGCATACTTTCAGTAGGCTTTTAAACAATCAGAAGTATTGCACTGATTGGTACTATGCTCCATTAAATCTTATAGGAAGAAGGTTTGTGAAAGTGCACCACTTTTATCCAACTCTGATCTGTGTGAGGAATATGTAGGTTTTACAGTAACCTACTTAAAAGTCATCCACTGCTTTGGTGTTATTTCAGGTTCCAAAAGCCATGAAAAGGTTACTTGGAAGTCTGCATCACAATTTCACAATTTTTATTTAGAAATGAAATTTTTTTAGAAAATTCCAAGTCTTCATTTAGCAAATACTGCTCATGACATCTACAGTAAACTGCTTGTTGTTGTGAGCTGTATCCCAATGAGGTTTCTTCCTTTCCTGTTTTGGTTGTTTTCTGCAAATTATACTTAAGTCATGTGGCCAACTCACATGAGCTTCCAATGACTGCATGTGTAATTATGTTTTGTTATATATGACAGTCGTGGCCAATATTCACAGTCAGACCCAGTTCCCTGTTGTGTGATATAACAAACACAGAATAAAGAATAGCCCTGTTCCTAAATTGCCTGCAATGTAATTAAGAGCTGGCATAAAAAGCAGTTGCAACAAACATTAGAAAGGTACAGAGGAGAGATGATGGAAATCATAATAAGAAAGTTAATGTATACAGCATATAAATAAGATCATTCACAGCAATATCGTAAGACCTACTTGTATGTTTTATAAACTAGCACTTTAAAGCCAAACAAATCATTGCAATCAAAACTTATCTTCTGGTGAATAAAAACAGAAGAGTTGAATTTGAGAAGCGTCTTGGACAGTGCTACTACTGTGTGTCTCTAAATTACTTGTGTCTTGTTTAAAGCAGCACTTCATAAAATGTGCTGTCCACAACTAAATTAAATTGTATCTTAATCTACATTTCTTGGATGAAATAAAGGAAGGAAGAAGTATTTTAAAATTCCCACACTGTTTTCAGGAGATGGCATGCTCATAGCCTGTGCCTTTTTTTTTAATTATTGCTATTATAAAATATATATTTTTTATAATAATATAATTATTATATATATATAGGAAAATAATAATAAAATGCGCCCCAATTATTTAGGCCTATTGAGAGCAAGCTACTTCCATGAATAACTGCTCATCCAATTCCATGAGCATCTATTATTAATGTGTGTGAGAAAATAGAGCTGTAGTTAGCAGAGACTACTCCTGAACAACGTGAGCACAAAGAACTGCAGTGATCTCTTTGAGTTGAAAATGAGCCTTTCTTTATCTGCATGTAACGCTCACAAACATAGTAGTACTGGGATAACGAAAATATGGCGCAGGCGGAATTTACTCAGAGTAAATTTTGTCTGATTTTAGTCCTGACTGCATGCATTTCTCAGAAGAAAGGCACCCATTCTTTTTTAAATATCCCAGTATTATTTCGCAGATAAACAGACCAGTGCTACCCACATTTCATTACCGTTCACAGTTGGTGCTCTGTAATTCTATGTAATTTTAATTAAAGAAGAATTCTGAGACAGTCTCCCCCTGTGCTACCACCAAGCATACAATTAAGTGTGTACAGTTTCTGCTGGGAACAGTCAGACAATGATTTCAGATTAATAATTTATTATTGCTTCCATAGTTGTTCCAAATAATAGCAATAATAAAAAAAAGGCACAGGCTATGAGCATGCCATCTCCTGAAAACAGTGTGGGAATTTCAAAATACTTCTTCCTTGGTGTAGATTTTAAACATTGGGAGTTTACAATTCTGTCCTATGGATACTGAAGAGAAGTAACTCCGTAGCACTGCAGTCTGAAAATTGCTTGCTGGAGGGCCCTTACTGTGTGCTTGAGTCAGGAAAGCAACATGAGCAATTTCATGTACAGCCTTTCATCATCCTTTCGGTTTTGAATAAATGATTGTTGTAATACTTCTAATATCGAAGATCCGATTTCTGATCTTGACCGTTCTGGCATTTTCTTCCAATTACAATCAATATCAAAATAATGGTAGCACCTGGCTTTCTATGAACAGACACATCTGGGCTGATCTTTTCCAGCAAATTTTAAAAGCACGGCTTTTAGTTTAACTGCCCTTCCCTAGTTATCCTTACAGTGCTTCAGAACAATTCCTGTAAGTCTAAAGTGATCTTACCTAGTAGAATCTTAAATAAGATTCATCCAAATTGAAGGAATCAACAGTACATTTGAGATTTTTTCAGATGCTGAAGTGAGTAATCAGGGAATTCACTTGAATGCTCACATAATGACAGAAACATATTTGAACCAGAATATGCGCTGCAGTTCCTCATTGGGAAGTTTTCATGTGCTCTCTTGTTATTGCCTTTATTTTTAAGGACTGTTAGAATGGAATATTAGAGTTTATGTCAGATGGGAGAAAAGACTCAGCTAGTAAATTAGCTCAAACTACAATTTAATCCAGACAAATGAAAACTATAAGGTTGCATTTTGGTTTTTTTCTTTCCAATCAAAGAAAAATAAACCTTTAAAAGCAAATGTTATTCCACCAGTTCTCAGTTAACAGTTTCTTTAAGTTGGTACTTATCAGCAGTCCTGACAAGAAGCAGAGGTGATTCAAGTTTTCAGATATTCAAGACGTCCTGAGTGAATGCACCTATCTGAAAATCACACAATTTGAGGGGGAAATAATACCCAAATCAATGTCCTCATCAAAAGGAAACCTCAAAAGACGTGTCAATATCTAATTTTCTGAGAGAACAGTAGAGCTACTAAGATTTAAAATTGTTGCTTGAGTTCAGTGTCACAGTTAGGAAACTTGCTTTTTGTTTGAGTGCAGGGTCATCCCTTTCAAGTGTGGCATAAAGTCCGTGCCACAATTCAGCAAATTAAGAAGTACCCACTCTCCTTAACCATCAGCCTACTTAGGTTATATAACGTGTGTCTGATGTCTTAGTCTTAAACAGCTTCCAAGTAATTTCTAAAATTTTGGGCTTCAGAACTATCAAGACAGCTAACTTATATGTTTATAAAGAATTTGTAATTTATAAATTATTGATTTGTCACACTGGAAGTTGTAAGTATATGAGGAGAAAGCTTTTTTTATCTTAATATGATGGACTGCCTTCAGCTAAGTGAGCAGAAGGATGGGCTGAGATTTTCTGAAATGTTCAGACTATGCAGAAATGTGCTCATAGTGGCATTAATACACATTTTACATCCAGTTCTGCAGGAACACAATCAGAGCACAATCCCATTGCATCTGAGCAAGTGTTACCATTTTCAATCCCTTTCTGCTTTACTGATGCCAATGAGTGTTTCAAAAATATGAACTCTAGTTATGAGTTTGCAAGACACAAGGAAACACTTATGTCACCTGCCCATTTTCTTATGTCAAGATGTTGCTTGAGAAACACTTCAAGAAAAATAACCTCACTAAATAAGTAAATATTGCATGCATCTTTTTCTGATGCTTTCTTGAGATAAAATGTGTTTTAATATTTTTTCCAGACATTCGGGACAGTGGGGGACCTAAGCCTGTGATGGTGTATATACATGGAGGGTCCTACATGGAAGGCACTGGAAATTTGTATGATGGCAGTGTTCTAGCAAGTTATGGGAATGTGATAGTCATCACAGTCAACTACCGCCTTGGGGTACTTGGTAAGAAGCTTTCAGATTTCCATTAATCCCTCATATGTGTAATGTGATTCATGTTATATATGAGTGTATTCTTCAAAAAAAAAACCAAAATTATTGATACTGTTTCCTTTGGTTTACAAATTTGTCAAAGAGAAAAAAAAGAGGATGAGATAAATGGCATTGCAAGTATTATTTGTGTTGTTTGGTTTGCATTTAGTGATATCAAGCAGGTGTTTCCATTGCTGAGTTGTTCAGACCAGATCTTGTTTTCTGTGGATAGTGGCAATGCTTTACTTCATAGATAGGTGAATTAGTTATATATATAAATGTAAGTTAAGTCATAGACAATAATGTTTTCTGTTGGAAGTGATTAAGTTTTCATTAACAAATTTTTTTCATGCTTGAAAAAACTAAGAACTTTATCAAAATATTATTTAGTAAGAGTTACACTGTACGCCTATTTATTTTGAGTTCCGTTGTGGTTTTAAAATGAGTTGTGGTTAGAATTCAATTAACTCCAATACTTCTTTTCTAAACCAAATTGTAGAGTAATAGAGTTATTTCTGATTGTTTCAATTGTGGTGAATAGGATATGCTGATGCTGCTGGTAGACTTGACTGGTATGTCTCTGGTTGGTTGTATTTCTAAAAAATGTACTTTGTTATTTGTTCACCAAGGCCACAGATATGATAAAAGTCTGACAGGTCTTATGGCAGTGATGTGATTGTTTGTTTTGTTCTGTGTGTTCTACTGCAGTGTTACTTGCTAAGGCTCCTGCAGGTAGGGTTTCAATTCTCGGATATTTTGAAAGTCAGAAGAGTAATTTTGCAGTACTTGCATAGGTTCCCTGTAACATCTGAAGTAGGTTGATAAGCCGGGTGTCATTCAGAGCAGCAAGTTGGTTCTGAAGATCAGTGAACTCTCAGTTTGTGGGCAACAGCAAGGTCTGCTACTCTGTTGTTCTTTTGTATGGTCATTTTATTTCATCAGCACTTGGTTTATTTCTGTTTTGAAATCAATCAGCATAATGATTGATTTGTTTTTTTTTTCCTGCTTCATCATCTCTGCAATTAATCTCCGGTGGTGCCATGTGTATTAAAATTTGCTATCTGAAAACAGTTTATTTTTTACTGGGAATGGATTTTGACTTAGATCTTGAAGACCTAATCTATGGTAGTTGCCTTTTACAAGGATGCAATATATTCCAAAACAATCAGAAAAATGACTGTTGCTGGACTTATCTCCTTAGCATCTGGCTGGAGGTTTCATTTGTGATGTACTTCTTTAAGGAAGAAAATACTGATGTTTTTCATGTTTGTCTCCCAATTTACTTTGAGTCCTTGGGCATATATTAGTGCTGTGGTTATTAATCTGTGACTATACACAAACAAGTGTGCTTGTCCTTCATATTTCAAACATTCATGTGTATTTTATACCAGAAGGGTACTCTGTTCAGTAATATGGTCGCCGTCATCTGAAGGAATTGTTTGTTTTAATAAATTATGTGGTCTGGTTCCTAAATTTACTGGCAGTTGCAGTGTTAGAAAGTGCTCATTGCTTGAAAGATGAGAATTTCTTTCTAACAGTAATGGCTTTTCCTTTTGGAATTTTAAGACTGATCCCTGAGGTAACCCACTGCTAACGTCTTACTGAGCCTGGGAGGTTTCCATTTGTGTTTGTGCTTTTGGGCTTCTTTGAACTTTGTGCTCTTTACAGAGCTTTCAGGGAGCAGAATGTTACTTTTCCTTCAAGTGGGACCTATTGCAGTAAAACTTCTGAAACTCACAGCAGAATCTGGTGATTGGCATGTATACTTAAGACTACTTTCAAACCAACTAAAATAATCCTTTATCAAGTTTGTAGTGCTTTCTTAGTAAAATAAATGTATTTTTTAACTATATATAAAAGTCAGGTATTTTGTTTCTGGTACAGTGCCATCTGCCAGGTATACAATAAATAATGGTTACATATCTCTAGATGGGCAGCGTAGAAACATGCTGGCAATCAGAAAACAAAATTTGCACAGTTTGCATTTTTTTTTTTCCAGGTTTCTTTGTGTTTCCTAGTGTGTAGACAATTGTGTAAGATAACCTCAGAGTTGGACTCTTGTGTAATCATACAAGATATCAGCTTTTTTGTTTTCAAACTTGTACTCATCAGTGTACAGAAATGCTTGTCCATAATGGTACAGCAGAACATTACTCTTTTCAGTGGCATTAAAAAAGATACGTTTTTACAAATACGTAGCTGACAAATTCTCAGCTTCCCTTACCTGACTCACATCCCATAAGATTCAGCTTCTCTGTCCATGGCTTGTGGGAAGACTAGATGTCAATTCATTGCTGTGTAAAATGCTTGGCTGTATGGGGAAAATAATATAAGGATTCTTTCTTTGAAAGGTAATATAGGGATTCTTTCTCCACAGGAGAAGATTTAGGGCCTGTCTTCCCATTTCTCGTGGCTGTGTTTCTTGCATCGGTCTTTGTGGATGAATACCTTAATGTAGATGATCCATGTGAGTCTTAGGAATTCTGCCATTGGTTTAACCAGGACTCTCCCTGTGACATTTCTTAGCAAGAAATCCGATGAAGGAAATGTTTAGAGTTTTTGTCCAAACTGATAGTGATGGGAAGGGAGGATATGCTATTATATTGGATTCTTTTCATTATTGCTATTAAGTCCATAGCAGGCAGCTCTTGGTACAGTTCAGAGTATTTTCTTTTTATTCTGAGCTGAAACAATCTTTGTCCTGTAGATTAATCTGCTTGAGGCAGTACATTTTATAGAGATGCAAGATTTGCTTCTTTATAAAATTTTAGAATGCTTAGAAGTGGAATGTCTTTGGTAAAGATAATAATAAAAATTGAAGTGTGGAGCAAGTGCATTTATAAACCAAACAAAAACCCTGAGAGTTCTCTGACCCAATTTCGTCTTTGTCTGAAGCAAGTCTGAGAATGAAAGTCTGTTAGAATCTTTCCTTAGATATTGATGAGATGGAGTAGAGAATTGTTTGCCCTGGAAACTTGGGGACTACTGAATAAGAAACCATTGGAGACAGACTATTTATATCTTCTTTACAATCTTTTTAAATGCGAGTCTTGTGCAAGCAATCTTTTCTAGTGAGTAGTCTGATGTCCTTGAAGGACAGCACAGAAGTAAGTGCAGGCAAATTTTTTATAGTTTTATAGCTTATTTTTATGAAAAGACAGATCTGAAGATAAATTTGGGTTTTGAACTCAACTAAATTAAGTTTTCAAATGTTTATCTAAAATATCTCCAGCTGGTAAAAAGGCAGGAGCTTTTTATTTAAATTTCATAAAAGAAACGTAAAGGGATTATAAAAAGAGTTTATTTAACATCCAGGCAAAGATCATGATAGATGGATTTAATACCCCCAGTGCTGTTTCCTATGTTCTTTCTTTTGAAAAGGAGAAGCCAGCATTGGCTTCTTCCCCTTTAGCTTAAGTTTCCAAGAGGAAAGAGAAATTTGTAAACTGATTTATGCCAACTGAATACACATTTATTCATTTTATTAATTTCTATTTCTTGCTTTTGATTATCTTTTGGCCACTGGATTTTAATCGATCTGAAAGAAAAACATTTTTAATGCAGTTTATGATTAAACTGAATTGAGAGATGGAAGAATAATTCAGAGGAATCTCTAAGTAAACCACTGCTTTAAATTTCCCAATTTTTTCCTCTTCAAGGCAATGGTTTTTCCCACAGAAACAGTGAGCTGTCATTCCAAGTTTTTTTTTGGCCATTTGTTACTTTTAATGACAGTTGGTAATTATTCATGCTTTTACTGTAGCACTGTGTTTGAAAGGCCTGATATCCTCATAAATATTAATTCCTTATTTTGCCAATGAATGAACTTAAATCAATGAGACTCATAAGTACAGTGCTTCTCGATACATAAAAGCCTGGTTTGCCCACAATTTGAAGCAGCACAACAAGAAAATTGTTGCTTATGCACAGAGCTTTTGACAGGAGCTATTCTTAGAGTCCTATTGTGTTCTTCAGCCTAAACTTCAATTTTTCAATAGTTTGTTGTGTCAGATGGCTATGGTGGGCTGAAGCAGTTGTGTAAAATAAAATACTGAAGCAAAGGAAAGCAAAGCAAAAACACTGCAGCGAAAGTTGCTTCTTACTTTTGTCAGCAACTCTAAGAGCTTTGTGAACAATAAAGTGAACGGAGGATGAGTCTTATTATGCTTTTACATTATTTGTTGATCCATGTTAGAATACTTGCGTTTGGAAGATAGGCTTGAGAATATATTTTGCTCCTCACATAATAGAGTCAAGCAGCAGTGTGTTACAGGCAAAAGAGTGGCATGAAATATAGACTCAGCCCTGCAGTACATGTTGGGCAATTTGTCCCAGGCCCTGCATTTCTGCCATTACCCATGGGTTGAAGAACTACTTATTTGACCATTTGCAGGATCAAACGTAGGGATGAGCACACACAGCAAAATAAAATCAGAGCAATTTTGAAGTACCTGGCCATTCATCAGGGAAGTTGGTCTAGCTGACCTTTGCAGGTCCCTTCCAACTCAAATGATTCCATGATTTCAGGAGTCTAGTTCCACTGTGATTGACGGGAGGACATTGTCTTCTTTTCTTTTCATTTTCTTTCCTAAGCAGAATAGAAAACTAAATTATTTCAGTGCTTTCAAATTAGATCTGATTTATTCTATGTTAATATAATTTGTTAAACTGTTTGATTCTTTTTTTGGGGGGGTAATCATTTACTGTGTACTTTTTCCATCACAAAATGTTTTGCTTTTGTTGTTTTCTTGCCTTGCCTTTCTATCATGGTAATAGTACTGAAATTATTAAATAGAAGATATCTTTCAAATATGTTTTCAGTACCACTCAATTGATGCTTTCAAAAATATCTATTAACTTTAGACATAACCCTTTCAAAAATTGCCTCATTGACATTTAGGCATTTTTGCCTGTATAATCTGTGGCCTGTTCTGCAGTCTGCTGAACTGTCTTGCCCCTCAGAAATAAGCCTC